GTATTTATTCCTCTAAACCAAACAATGGAATTTAAATTTTCACTTTATTCCTAGTAATTCATCTCCCATGAAATTGCAATTCCTTTCCACGTAATTCTCTCTCTCCAACCAAATGCTCCGTAAGAGATACAATGATAAATGGAGAATTATGGTAAGGTAAAAAGAAATCTTGAAATATATGATTTATATAATAGTCTTGAAATCAATTAGATGCAAATTGTATTAGGAAAAGTATTAAAAAAAATGGCCTAATAAGAGTACTAAAAAGGGCCTAATAATTATAGTACATTAATACAGAAAAAAAATATTATTTAATTATAATTATTATTACAATATTATACTTTAACTATAAAAATATATATTTATACAATACCAAAAAGTTACCATAATAATTACACGAAAGAATGAAAAGAGAATTACCAAAATAATTACCATAAAAATAGGTAATTATATTAATAATTAATTATTTAGGTAAGTATATTACCTTCGTTAATATATATATATATATATATATATATATATATATATATATATATATGCTAAGGATCCTGTGACAACAATATCATAAGAGAGAAATAAGAACCCATATTAGACTTATATTTTTAAAAATTCAACAAATCATATCATATTTTTAAAAAACAAAAAAATACACTAGCATTTTTGTAACTATTATTAATTTTACTATGCAAACTTTAACACTTAAATATGCAATCTTTAACAACTAATTTCACCACCGTGTTTTTTTTTTTTTTTTTAAATTTGGTATGATCCGTCCGAATTTTCCATATGTAAGGCTGGGGTTGGTTCTTATTTCTCTTCTAAGGACATGTTCTCATTTGATCCAATAACTATATATATATATATATATATATATATATATATATATATATATATATATATATATATATATATATATATTATATACACGTTTAAAAGTAATATTGTTTTACCTCTCTCCTTCTCAATTTTTGAATTCCTTCGTAGCATTAAATTTAACTAGTAAATCAAATTGAATAAAAATATAATTGTATTGATATAATAAGCTGCATTCATAACTTGTACATTACGCCTTATTTTCTTTACTTTTACAAATATTTTGAAATTTTCCCCTTCTTTTTTATTATGCATACATTTTTTTTCATACAATTGATAAAAAAATAAATAAGCAACAAATTAAACAAAATATGGTCCCTTTCAAAAAAAAAAAAAAAAAAAAAAAAAAAAACAAACAAAATATGGTCATGTCACGTCCACACTATTTGTTTATCTAATAGGAGCAGTTTAATGATCCCACCTAGTAGGTTTTCCATGACTTGCAAACTAATCCATCCCTATATCTATCAACTTGAATTGTGAATCGCTCTAACAATATTTAAATACAAATCCCTCTTATTTCCTCCTTGAAACCTTCTCAAAAATCATCAATGATTTTCACTTTCAAAAAAAAAAAAAAAAAAGTTTGAATACAATCCTTTTAACCTCGATTTTAACACAACAACAGTCCATTATAAATAGTTCAAAGCTTTGCTGACAGGCTAATTAATGCAACACCAACTCTAAACTAAAAACCATATATCTTGTTCGCACGGCTTTAACTCACTGGTTCAGTAAGCAGTATTTAAGAGAAGAGACCAAATGTTGAAACTCAACAGTGACAATATGTAATTATGTCTAAACTCTAAAGTGAACAGATTCTTTTAAAGTTCCGACATTTGGCCTTTTATATATATATATATATATATATATATATATATATATATATATATATATATATATAGCATGTAAACGATATAGGTACGAAGCATTTGTTCCTTTCGGCTGGAGTGCTGCCGTGCTGGACCCAATGGTACAGGAGACCTCTTCATCCTCAACCTCAAACGTAAATTTTGGGAATATCGTTTTACTTTGGACGTTTCAAAAGAAAAATACAAAACTGCTAACGAGCCATTATATTTTTTTAGGAAAAAAGGATCAAATAGTCTCGAACTTTAGCTTAAAAGTCAATTAAGCCCCTAAACTTTTTAAATGTGCAATTACACCCATCAACAATCCATTTAAGTGCAATGAAGCCCAAAAACAAATTAATGACCTGCTATCACAAGTCATTAGGTTTCAGGCCACCTTTCGGCGAATTTTTCGACAAAAAAAAAAAAGTGACCGGCGAAATTTTCGGCAAATCTCGGTCGGTTGCTGGTCACATTTTTTTTGTCGAAAAATTGGCCGGAAGGTGGCCTGAGCGCTAATGACCTGTGATAGCAGGTCATTAACTTGTTTTTGGGCTTCATTGCACCTAAATGAATTGTTGATGTGTGTAATTGCACCTTTAAAAAGTTTAGGGGCCTAATTAACTTTTAAGCTAAAGTTCGAGGGCCTATTTGGCCCTTTTCCCTTTTTTTTATTTGTTTGCATAAATTTTGAAATGTAAAAAATGAATTATGAAAATTTCATTATAATAATAATAAAATATATTTGCTATATAACATTTTAACTATTTATTTTTAAATGTTTTTATGATTTAAAATGAAACTTTTTATATTTAATAGATAATTTTACCAAATTAAGGAATTTAAAAATTAAATGGTAAAAATTTTGGATAGCTAAGAAATTCAAATTAAACACATGAAAAAGTATGGTAGGTAAAGATCAAATGCATGCAACAAATAAAAATAAATATATTCATGAAGCCTCAGCCCTCAGCCTTGTAATTGCAACTAATTAAAAAAAAAATGGGATAAGGTTCAAATAAATCTTCCAATTATATATCAAAATGTAATTAGACCCTTGAACTAATAAAAAAATCTCCAATTAGACTCTTAAACATGTTAAATTTGTGCAATTAACCTATTTGACCTATATTCAAAAAAAAAAAAAAAAGTTAGTCTTAAGTCACTTGCCACATATGATTCTACCACTTAAATTAATATCTTTTAAAAATTATATTTTTATAAAAATTAAAATAATAATATTCATTTAAAAAATTAAAACCATGGCAGCCAAGCTGCCATGGCTTCTTCTCCAATATCTTTTAAAAAATTATATTTTTATAAACATTAAAATAATAATATTTATTCAAAAAATTAAAAATTAAAAAAATAAAATAAAACCATAACAGCTTGGCGTCCATGGCAGTTGTGCTACCATAGACGTAGAAGCTTGGCGGGCTTCTCCGTCCAAATTAGATGAAGAGAAACCAGCCAAGCTGCCATGGCTTCTTGTCCAATATCTTTTAAAAATTTATATTTTTATACAAATTAAAATAATAATATTTATTTCAAAAATTAAAAAATAAAAATAAAACCATAGCAGCTTGATGTATGGACAACGTAGAAGCTTGGCGGGCTTCTCCGTCCAGATTAGACGAAGAAACCCGCCATGTTCATGGCAGAGAAGCCTGTTCGCGTTAGATTATGGAAATGTTTTTTTTTTTAATTTAAATAAGTATTTTTTTTTTAATTTTTAAATAGGATTCCATCCACATTAGGAGAATTGATAGGTTGCCTTTTCTTGACCTGTAAATTGTACAATTTTAACAAATTTAAAGGTCTAATTAAAAATTATTTTTAGTTCGAGGGCCTAATTAAACTTTTGTATATAATTAGAGGGTCTATTTGACCCTTATCTCAAAAAAAAAAAAAAAAAAAAAAAAAAAAAAAAAAAACGATGATAATCTTACTGACGATCCCAAATCGAATTCCAATATATAAATAAATTTCGAAGAGGATGTGAATAGCTGGCCTAACCTACCAACTACAAGTCTACAACTTATTTATTATGTCAAGGATTAAACATTTTAAGTAAATTAATATTTTGAAAAAAAAAAAAAAAAAAAAAAACTAGTCTAGTAGGGGTGGAATTGTCAATTCATGATAGTCAATGAATAAAAAAAAGTTTTATTGATTAATTTTTTTAAAATAATATTTAATTGATAAATAGGTTTCTTTCTTAACAGTGACGGAATTAAAGTTAGACCAATTCACCATAAACAATGAATAAAAAGAATTTTACTGTAATATAGAGTTGGGCATTATGAATAAAAATTAGGAGAGGAAAAAATATTATTCATTGATTATTAAGTAGACACTTCATTACCTTCAAAAAAAAAAAAAAAAGACACTTCATTAACTCATGCAAAGATTAATCCATTTACCAGTAACCAATGGAAATAAAATGTTTTTTAAAAATGGTTTTAGATAATTTCATGTTAGATCGTGAAGATTAAGTAATGATTTTAGTAGGAAAAATAATATTATTCAAATGTTAAAGGATTATTTCAAAATATTATAAAGTATAATAGAATCTTATGAGATATTACAGTAAAATTTAGAATACTGTAAAATATATTAGAACATATCTTAAGATATTAATATACGAAGTGTACAATGAATAGTACGCGCGTAGCAATGCTCTATTTTTTCTAAAATTTAATAATTGACAAAATGATTTGAAAAATTAACATCAAAATAATTTAATAGGAAGTATAATTGGATGCACAAAATTAAATATTTAGAACTTTTTTTTTTTTAAATTATAAAGTCATTAATTATACGACAATATATAGGTGATGATTAGAGAAAACAATTATGGTACGTACTAACGAATAGCAATGCTCTATTTTTGTGTGTGTGTATATATATATATATGGTATACATTTATATAGTTCCTATTTTATCACTCTTGTACAGTTGTACTATGTATATAGAAAGCAAATAAGCCATTCTCATCCTTATTTTTCATGAATTCTTTATTGAAAATAATGGATAAAAAAAATCATTGTTTTTTGGAAGTAAACTAAGATGGGACAAAAAGAAAAGTCGCGCACCAAGTTGCAGAAAAATCTTAAATGTATTTGTTTTTATTTTATTTTATTTAATTTAATGGTATATGAGGAAAGCAGGTTGCTGTCATAAATTTACCACATTTAATTAGTGTATTTTCTTAATTTTCCCGTTCACATTTAGGTGTAGAGTTTATTTTAGTGTATTTAAGGCAATATATATAGTTCATTAAATTCCCTGCAGTGCAGGCAAGCAGGAGCTAAGTAGGTGCATTTAACGATGGAGGTAATGCAATACCCCAACAATGGCGATTTGACGGAGCCGCTGATAATGGCTGGTGAGGATGTTACCCTTCACACGCAGATAGTTAATGGCTATGGTGATGATAGTATGAAGCTGAAGAAAAGTAGAGTACTGGAAGAAGAAGAAGAAGAAGGAGAAGAAGAAGATAAGGTGTTGAGTGGGGAAGAAGGGCACAAAAGTAGCGTTTATCTTGACGAGGATGGAGGTAATTTCTTATTATATGCTGCACTTCATTTCATTTGTTTTTATTCTGTTGAGTCATTGAGTTACAGTGATTTACATCATTTTTAAATGTTCTGTCGGGACGGGATGTGGGGGTCCTTGTGCGCACCGACATTTGACCATAACTGCTGAGCAAGGGTCAAATGACGGTGCACACAAGAAATCTGCCCACTCCTATCAAATGCTCTGTTAGAACAGGTGTGGGTGAGGGGAGTCCTTGGAGTTGGGGATTCAAAAAACAGTTAGTGAGCCCAACAATCCTCCTACCCACCTGGTGGTGCTCTATCAGAACGGATGTGGGTGTGGGGAGTCCTTGGAGTTGGGAATTCAAAAAACAGGTAGTGAGCCCAACAATCCTCCTAGCCACCTGGTGGTGCTGGACTCCTGACCTCCACCTAACAATTCCCGAGCACCTGCTAGCTTTATTTGCATAGTTTACTCTTACTGCCACTCGAATCCATGACCTGTGTGATTAGGCGCAACTTTATTTCTCTCCACACTTTCGAGAGGTATGGTGTTGGCCTGTTGGGCTTGTCTCTTCTGATCTCCGTCCAACAATTATTTAGTCACCTAGTACTGAATTTGACTCATCCATCTCAAATACTACATTTTAATGGGAAAGCTAGCTAGTGATGTTTGGCTTAATTGCAGTCCGTCCAGCCTTCATTATTACATATATTATTGTATATATATTGGACTAATCTGCCAATAATTCCGGCCTGTTGCCCGCCGGGACCAGATAATAATTCATAATATATAATTTACAAAATTAATTATATATTCAATTTTTCACCAGTAAAATTAAATTAAATTAAATTGGGTTGTGATTTGAATTTTAATGTTCGCGGCTTAAGGAATGTGGAGATGTCGGGAGTGTGTATGGACCTACCAAATTGGGAATCCTTGCATGGATGATCATAGTGAAGCAAAACCTTTCCATTTTGGCAATGGAGGTTAGTCCTACCACTTAGCTACCTACCTACCTAGTGTCATATAAATTTTTTTTTGAAATAATAATGGTTACAATATATTAATGAATGAAAGCAACAATAGAGTGGGGGAACAGAGTCCCAATACAGCGGAGAAGTCTGAGCAGAGGCTGTTGCAGCAAGAGTATGAGCATGTAAATTCAAGGCTCTAGACACCAAACTAACTGAACAATAATGAAACGATGACATAGCAGATCTAATCTCAGTAATAATAATCCCGACATAGGACAAAGCCGGGGCGTTAGCCGTCTGTAGACTGGTACATAGGGTCATATAAACTTAGTTTCAGACTTATTAGGCTAAATTCAGTCATGACTCACGAACAGAATTCATGCATTAAATTGAAGAATGTGCTTTATCTTAACTAAAAGTCTAACTTTATAGTTCAATTATTCATTTATATATGTTTATATATTATATGCTCAACAAATTAAAATCAATTGCAGAGGCCAGTGACAGGATGCCGTCTGCCGAGATTGGAAATGTTGCTCAACTTGGGCAGCTGGTGAACGCCGCCCGTGGTGGTGGTGGTGCGGTGGGGGATGTGGAGGAGGTGATTGAGCTCGAATTTTTCGAGCGGGCGATAGATAAGTTGCACACGCATAACACCTATTGCCCAAACTGCAGGACCCCCATTTCCAAAGTTATTTTGAGGATTAAGCGTGAAACGACAACACCTCCAATTCAAATTCCAGACAAGAAGTTGGATTTTGATGTGCTTGGATGTCTAGCCTGCTTCAGAATTTTCCTTCCTAATAAAACAGTAACCGATGAAAGCAGGGGAGAAAGGAGTGAAGTCCAACAAGAATCAGACAATAATGCATCTGAAGGTATGTTGGTATTTGTACAGTTTTTGTTCTTGCTGGGACTCAAATTTATTTGGGACCTGGCTCCGATATGAGGGTCAAGTTCTTACCCAATGTTGCAAAATATGTTAGGCGCCGAGGGGCGTCTAGGCGCCTGATTTTTATTTAAAAAAATTAACTAAAAATTGTAAAAATTCACTAATAAAATATAAGTTTTTGTAATTTTTTCTTAAAAACTATTTACGTGAGTAGTGGTAAAATTGTTCAAAATATTGTTGAAACCATTTAAATATATACAAAATTAAAATTAAGAGCAAAAAAAACATTTTTTTTTTTTTGGAGAAATTGGAGGGGAAAACTGCCATAGGCGGTTTGTATTGAATAGATCTTGAAAAAATATGCGATTTCAAACAAAAATTGTCAAAACGGATAACCGAGTCAAAAGTTATGTCTTGCCAAAGTTTCTACACCAAAAAAAAAAAAACAAAAAAAAAACAGACGGTTCAGCCGGCTAGGCGGTCGCGGAGGAGGTCGATTCCGATCTTTCTCGCCGCGGCCGGGCGACGCCTAAACGCGATTTTGGTAACATTGTTCTTACCACTACGCCAGAAGTTATAACTTTCAGCAAAAGTGTAACTTTATTTCCTTATATACAATCACTATATTTTTGAGAGACAGGATGCTGAGCTCCACCCAACCATTCCCTAACCACTAATTACTGGACTTGTCACTTGTCCCTTTACAAGCCTTCGCCCAACAATTTTCTCATCGGATAATAATATATTTCTTTATGTTATTCAGGCAAATGCTTTGACCTACTTTGGTTTTTTGGAGGAACACAAAAAGCGCAGACTTCACAGTACCAACCACTGGCAACCGTAGCATCTGAGCAAGGTAGTATAGTACTTCTAGTTTGCTTCTTAATCTCTTCTTTTGTCAATTGCCAAACTTAGAAATTAATTAAGATTATTATATATTTGAGTTACATCTACGAAAATTGGTATTATAGGTGTGTGATTCTTTTTTTACTTTTGGTCTTCACATAATAACTTGATGATGAAATTGTATTAGATTTTGTTACATGACCTGTTTGACCAAAGCTTATGGACAAAACACAACATTCTCGGGTAAAAAGTGTGATTTTTGCACATGCTATTTGGTCACTCACAAGTCACTAAGTTAATTAACTTTGGTAGGATTTTATTAATTTCTCGTCAGGAAGACCAAAAGTGGAAGAAAAAAAAAAAAACAAAGATTTGATACTCAATTTAGTCATCGATTATAGTATTTTTCTCGATTTAGTCCTAAACGTCTTTTTGTATTTAATTAGGTCTTCTACTTTGATGATTTTACCCAATTGAGTCCTATGTTAAGATAACTTGGTAATTTCACTTCTATTGATATCCATTTTAATCCTCGACTTTAGTAGTTTTACCCAAATTAGCATTGGACTATAGTGATTTTTCTCGATTTAGTCATTGATTCTAACAATTGAGGACTTAATTAGTTAAAATCATCAAAGTCGATGACCTGAATCACCTGATTAAGTATAAAAAGACGTTTAAGACTAAATTGAGAAAAATCACAGTCAACGACTAAATTAAGTATTATAAGAATGCACCAAACTCATGGGATCAAAAGTGACAAAAACTCTTATATACTTCACTTTTCATTACTCCATTTGATCTAACTTGAATATACTCTTCTCCTCAGGGCAGAAGCCAAATGATGGGCATTTAAAGGGAGATAGTAATGCTGCTATTAATTCATCATCCCATCATTCAGATGCAACACAGAGTGCTTATATTCAACAGGAAACCCGAGCTCCACCACCAGAAATGATTGATAATGTGAAGCATGAGCCCCAGTTTTCTGGAAAGCCTTTTAGCAGTAGCTATCAGGGAGGTGTACTTTCAGGTAATCAAACTTAATTGCCTAAAAATTTATATATTCACACACTTTTCATACATTTGGATCTAAATGAGATGTCCTCTGGGATTTGTGCAGTGAAACCAAAACCTGAAATTACACAAGATGTACGTATTCCGGTTTATGAAACCCCAAATGAAGCAGGAACTGGAACTGGAACCGGAACCGGAACTTCCACACAAACACAAGTTGATCCACCTGAAGTTGAAGAAAGTGGTTCGAAATCAGTAGAGGTCGTGAAAAGCGTTGTGTATGGAGGTCTGATGGAATCCATCGCAAGCTTAAGCGTGGTTTCCTCTGCTGCTGCATCTGGTGCCACCACACGTAAGTCCTTTCCTGTTAGGATCAAACGCTTACCAATACACCAAAAGATATAACTAGTAGCGAAAACGTGACTTTATTCCCTAACTTGAGTCTTCAGTCTCAAAAGATTTGTGTTGGTTTTTTTGCAGTGAACACTGTAGTTATTGGAGTGGCGAATCTCATAGGTGGTTCTTTCGTGGTTGCACACAATGTATGCTGCACTGCCCATATATATATATTCCTTAGCACCTATTGAGCATATAACCATTAATGTGCAATCCAACTATTAGCTTAGGCTTTTAATTGAGATGGTGCACATGCTTCAATTTGGTATCAGAGCCAGATCAAACTAACTCTTATTATTAATTTGCAGCTTCTGGACTTGAAAATGAAGAGCCCTGAAGAAGAGTACAACAAAGTGCTAGGCCAAAGAAACCACTTCCTACTTCACGCCATTGTTGCCATGTTATCCTACCTCATCTTTGGGCTCGCCCCGCCTGCACTATACGGCTTCACGTTTCGCCAGAGCGACGACCGAGACATGAAGCTTTTGGGCGTGGCAGTGGCTTCTTTTGTATGTGTCCTTCTTCTTGCCATTGGAAAAGCTTACATTTCCGGAGCCAAAACGTTTAACCAATACTTTGTAACCATTGTGCAATATGCTACTGCTGCGGCTACGGCTTCTGGCGTTGCTTATGCAGTGGGACATTTGTTTCAGAAGCTAATGGATGAACTTGGTTGGTTCAACTCAACCCCAACCAACAATCTTCTTCTTCCTAATATCAACTTGCCAAATCCAAATTCGGTTTTCTTTTGATTCCTGCCAATCACCATCATGCTCAACTCAAGTTTCTATATTTCAACTTTTCATGTTTTTGTTTTTTGTTTTTTTTTTTTTTTCCGTATTGTACGGTTTTATTGAGTTCAAGTGTTGAGTTCCAAGTGTTTTTTTGAACCAAAGTTCCAAATGTTTAATTAGTATTTTTAAAATTCAAGAATTTGATTACATTTTTGTTTCATATAAAGTTAACCCTTTCCCCAGAAATGAGATTTACTACGGAGAGTTTTGACCACACCCCTATGGTTCGCGAAAAAAATATTTGAATAATATTAGAATTGAAATTCTATGAAAAAAGAAAATATCAAGAAGATTGATTGTATAATTTGGTCAGTATAAAAGAAATTAATGAAAATATTAATTCTTTTATTTAGTTGGGTTTAAAATTGTAAAGAATAATGAATATAAAAACTAATATACCGCTACACAATAATGATAATAAGAAAGTTTTATGAGAGCAAAATTATCTTACCAAGTGAACAAAGAAAACTTTTTCTTTGGGAAACAAAATACCTTGGTTGAGTAAGGAGAATTTTTTCTTCAAATGTGAGGAATTCTATTTCCATTTGGAAAATAAATCCAATGTACCAAACAATAGAAAAATACCATTTTCCTCAAATTTTAGGAATTTGACTAGGAAAACTTTTTCCATCCAACCAAACATGCTCTTAGTTACATCAACCTTAGTTACCAAGCAAATCATTGAGAACATATGCAAATTGTCAGTTTACTCCATTACCAAAAACACTTTGTTACTTGTCTGTTATATTACAAACTAGAAATCTTGAATAAATGCACAGAAGTTAGATAAGTTCTCATATCAATCAACTACCCACACACAAGGATAAGACTTGCACATTAGCCACTTCCAAAAATGTTTTAATCAGCTGCCATCAGCTTTCTCCAAAGCTGCCAAAAGAAAAGTGAAAGAGAGACTCTATTAGTTAAAAACAATGATATAGATCAAATCAAAACCAATGGGCATCTATCACTAACTACAAGCTTTCTCTCAGAAATTTTTTAGCTCAAGTGCCAATAACTTAAGGCTAAAAGATGAAAATTGATTTTATTCATTTCTTAGGAGAAGAAAAATATCCACAACCCTCCAAATTAATGCCTTTTTCATCTTATGCCTCCCATCAGGCCGCTCACTTGTAGAGTTATAAAATGTTTATTTAAAGGAAAACTTTAGGAAAAACAAATTAGTGTAAACTCTAAAATGCTAGATGCATAGGTCAGCTTGGAGAATCTGGCCAAACAGACAAATGCTCAACTAATCCTAATCTAGTTGGACTGACTAACAAGTAGAACAAACATATAAATACTCAAGGTCTTATGTAGTGGGTATTAGTAAGTGATCTCTATGTGTGATACTAAGGTAAGGCGGATACTTATAACTTACTGTTGTAGTTCAGCAGCTTTTCAATAAGATCAACATGGGTCATCAGCATTCTTCGGCAGCAGTAGCGAACCAAACCCAAAGCATCAAGTGCATCCCTATACACCAAGGTTAACCAAGAACAATGAAAGTCACAAAATGTCAAGAGATGCACAGAAACTGGAAATCATCAATACTACGGTGCTGTTTGGTAAGATAAGGTAATACGTGAATTGCGACTATAGATTAAGGCCCTATTTGGTAAATGGTTGTTAGCTGATTGGGTTAATTAGAGGATATAACTAGTTGATAACATTAGCTGATTGTAGAAAAGTGTTTGGTAAATTAGCTATTAGCTGATAGCTGTTTGGTATAATTTCTTTTCTCAAAAAGCTAATTGAAAAAGTTGCTTTGAGTAGCTTTTTGAATTTTAGCATTTTGGAATACAAAAAGCTAATTAACCAAAACACTTATATTGATTTTTAAAGCAAGCCAAACAGCTAATAGTGGTCAAATAAGCCAAAATTGGCCTATAGGCTAACTATTTTACCAAACAGGGCCTAAATAATATTCATTCTACAAGTTTGGCAAAGGCTATTCTAGTTATGCGTTTGTGTGCCAATAATCCATAAGAAACTTAAGTAAATCCATAATCATAACTATGATCAAGGTTGTAACCTAATGTTTTGCCAATAGCTACCCACAAGCAACAAAAGAGTTACCTGCTAGAAGGTTCAAATTTCTAATTTGATTGATTTGTGTATTCGAGTTGAAAATTGAGTAAACTGAATAAACGTATAGCTTAAGAGGTTTAGCATCATCTATGTAATTTAAATTGAGTTGAAGTTCTCTCATTATTTTAAATAAAAACTCATTCCTTCAACTGGAATCGAAGAGAAGAAATCATAAAAAGCTAACCCTTCAGTGTAATCGGCTTGGAGAAGATCGAGATACTCGTCCCATTTGTTTCCTATTACCTGAAAATATAACAATCCATGAAATATTCGTTGAGCATGAGTGCAGAAAATTAGCAAATTTCTTCGCTAAAACCATGAAGAATATTGAAACCCCTAGTGAGCAAGAAAAAAGGTATAATCAATTACTGAGAAATCCAGTTGATTACCTTTCCACAGGTGAAGCAACGTACTGGAATTATCATCTTCGCCGCTGGCCTAGTTTGGAACCGTGGAGAAGAAGCGGGTTCGAGGGTGCAGAAGAAACAAGTGGTGCTTGCCCTAGTTTGGAGCTCTGGGTAGGGGGACTAGGGAGCGCAGGGCGTGCGGGAAAATATATTAATGTGATTATATCTTATATGTTTTTTAACGTGTGATTATATGTAATCTACACTGTAATAGAGTCATAGCATTCAAAAAATAAAATAAAATATGTAATCTCCTATCTATTATCTATTATATTAATAATTAATTTTTATGCGCATTGCGCGATTGGGATAATGGCCAATGTTTTTTTTTTTTTGTATTTAAATAAGTACTTTAAAGTATATCAGTGGTAGGGAATATCCCGACCGCCATAGCTCTACCACGATCGAAGTGCCTTTGTCTTTGTCTTTTTGTCTTTGCAGGTAGCAGGTCGGACTTTTTATGAAGAACCCGGTCGGGGTCCGACCAGGTGTTGCCCGAGCGGCAGTGTCGACCACCGAGCGGTAGCCCTTTGGCGAGGGAGCTAATGAAGGACACGTGGCGGCTCTCTGTGGCGACAGATAGGGCACCCGGGAGGATGACACGTGGTGGCTACGTGGAGAGCATGCCGAACGACCGGATTTGTGTCTCCGGCGCAGCGGCTATAAATACCCACAGTAGCTACAGTGGAGAGGACTTTTGGACGATCGATAGGTTGTTACTAGAGAATCCCGACCGCAGTCAGTCGGCACTCAGAGCAACCAAGTAGATTGTACTTAGGGCCTTTACCGCAATCAATAAAGATATTTACTTGCTTTACTTGGTCTCGGGTTCGTTTTATTATTGCTTACGTAGAATTAGCAGTATCATTTTGGCGCCGTCTGTGGGGACCCGTGCAAGAAAGCAACGTCTTGACGAGCACTCGGTTCCTTTGCAACAATGTATCCGTGGGCATACAACAATTTCGCCGACGATCAGGTGGATGCAGCAAGTTCATCCGATCACCACGCTACCCAACAGCAAGGTCAGACGGTGGACTTAAACCTTAATCTGTCACCACCACATCCATCCAACACATACCCGGCTGCCCAACAGCCGGTGAACTACATTCAACCGGGATACCCAACACCCGGTCAGCCGTATCAACAACAGCCGGTGATGTATCCCGGTCAGTATCCGTACCCGGTCCCACCTCCGTCGTATGGGTACTGGCCTGGCCAACCGATGTACTACACTCCCCCGGTTGGATATCCACCATATACGCCTGCATACACGGCTCCAGCCGCTGCCCCTCCAGTTTACCCGACCGCACAGGTAGAGCCGCAGCGTCAGTCCGCTTCCCGGGCTCGACGCTCGGCTCGTTCGCGGTTGGGGTCGGGGGGTGCTGATGCGATGGAAGCACCATGGCAGGCCCAGCAAGCGGCCGAGGTTCCCGCCCGAGCGGAGGACCCCGAAGAAGTTGCCCGAGCGGCAGCTTTTGATCGTCTTCGACCAGAGATGCGGCAGCGTTTGGGGCCCCAAGACCCGAACCGTCAGCCGGAAGACGTACAGATGCAGGAAGCCAGCCAGGAGGCTTCATCCGGGTATAGCGGGTCGAGATCTCACCGACGGCGACGCGCTCGGGATACAGCCCAAGCTGCCCAAGCCGCCGAGCTCAACGAGACCCGAGGATTGCTCTACAACCTCCAGGCGGAGTTTGCGCAATTTCGAAACGCGCACCCTGCAACACCCCCGGTCGACCAATCGACCTTGCACCAGACGCCTTTTACAGCGGCAGTGATGGCTCAGCCCTACCCGCTCGATTTAAAGGTCTCAGGAGAGAAAAGTTATGATGGCCGGATGGACCCTGAGGCCCATGTTAATGACTTTTACAGCAATATGATGCTGAAGGGCGTGTCAGACGCCGTAATGTGTAGGGCTTTTTATTCCACGCTCACCGGCCGGGCGGCGGAATGGTTCCGAACCTTGCAGCCGGGCTCGATCGACAAGTTTGACACCTTGGCAATCAAGTTTGTGAGGAAGTTCATCACTTCCAAAGTGGTGAGGAAGCCCTATATGTATCTGGAGAAGGCCAAGCAACTTGAAGGCGAGAGCTTGACCGACTTCCTCATCAAGTGGAAGGCGGCGGTCGGGGAGGTCGAGCCCATGGACGATGCGACCGCCACCCATATGCTTCACATCTCTCTCCGGGCGGGATATTTATATCAAGATTTCATCCTACACCCCCCGGCCACTTATGAGGAGGCCCTTCGAAGGGTCACAGATTATGCCAACGCCGGTGAGGCGAATGCCGTAAAGCGCTCGCAGGAGGTCGGGTCTTCGTCCCGTAAACCGGCCGGCCGGGCGGAACATCGATCGGGTGATGATCATCCCCGATCCCGCACCAGGCCTAGTGAGTTTACGGCCTTGAACCGATCCGCAGCGGAGGCCATGCAGTATGCTCAGTCCTGCAATCTCATCAAACTCCCCCATCCCAATCGAGACGGCCCCGACAAGAGTAAGCATTGCGCTCACCATCGATGTGCCGGGCATGACACTGAAGAGTCTACCCACTTGCGGCAACTGTTAGAGGACTTGCTCAATCTTGGGAAGTTGGACAAGTG